TGCTTCTGGTGTATGTCAATTTCTGTCAAACAAAAACATTACGGTGTGTCCTCATCCAACATATTCACCGGATCTGGCACTGTGCAATTTCTGGTTCTTCCCCAAAGTCAATGATTCAGGACATCGAGGCAGCCACAACAGTGCAACTAAAGACACAAAAGAGGACTTCCGGAACTGCTTCAGAAAGTGGCAAGAACGATGAGATAAGTGTGTTTGAATTGAGGGGGAGTATTTTGAGGGGGATTAATGGCAATGTGTCTTTTACTATAATAATTTTTATTTTAAACATTTACCATATTTTTTGATCACACCTCTTAATAGCATGTGGAATCCAGAGAAGACAGGATTTCATCTGCTTTAGAGGAAACTGACACTCTATTGTTCACATGCTTCCAGTGGGAGAGAGCAGGACCTTGGTGACTGCGCTGGGTATTGGGCTCCTCGATGATCTGCATCACAGGGACTTCCTCCTGGCTGGGTTCTGGTAGGGCATGGAGGGCCTTACTGAAGAGTGAAGCACAAACCCTTTATTCTTGCTATCCACAGATTGAGGAGGCACTTGTGCGAAGGAAGAAGATGGAACTCCTCCAGAAGTATGCAAGTGAGACCCTGCAGGCCCAGAGTGAAGAGGCCAGAAGACTTCTGGGATATTAGGGCTCAGTGAGAGCTATCCTTAGGGTCTGGAAATCTCCTCGGAGTCCTTCACTCCCCAGCTCATGCTTGCATTAATCCACAGAGCTCTGTTGTCCTGGGATTTCAGATTAGCAGGCTAGTGCTGCGAGGCTTCCTGCTATTTCTTACTGTTTATTCTCCTCTTACCTTTTCTTACCTCATCTACTGATCTCAGGGGAGAAGTCTGCCCCATCCCTCCCTGACAGGCTATCTACATGCTAAACACTTCAGCCATCACCTTTGTACAAATGTTTTGCTACTGTATCAACTCACTTATTTTTATCTTCAGTGTGCAAAATAGGCTGCTAACTGGCTGCCTGTAAGTGTTTTATTTAGCCTTCTACTGTCATTTGGCAGGAGGGCGATCAATTAGTTACTACTGTTAAAAAAATGTGGTTTTTTTCTAAAAAGACATATTTTTAATTACTCTAGAAAAATGAGATGTGTCAACCCTGAGCCCACATCCCACATGTTAACAGCCAGCCATGGTTGTCCTTTTTTGGACTGGACACAGTTCTCCATGGCCTAGTCAGCCTGCCCCATTCCCTCCTGCTCACTTGGCAGGAAACTTAGTTTGCTACTTCTGTTTTATTACTGGTTCTACAGAGAGCTATTAAAGATTTTTGTATGAAAGAAAAACCTTCATGTCTGTAGCTTGTTCCCTGGGCTCCCTCAACTGAGACTATGGTTGCATTAGAACGTGAGGTTCAGAATTACTGCAGGGGAGAGAGTCCCAAAACACGCAGTCCAAGTGTGGAAGGGCTGGGACCAGTACTAGGCTCTGTCTGGGAGCTGAGATGGGTGGGCCGAGTATCCTCACTGTACCCCCCGAGGTGGCCTGTATGAAGGCACACTGTGGATGCCCAGGAAGCATGAGTTGGATCCAAACCTGCCATTCGAACTAGGTCTTTTCTTTCTGGTGGGGAGAACCGACAGCAGAGGCCACAGCAACTGGGGCAGTGTAGGGGGCCTCCCCATGCTTGGAGGGGTCCTGGGAGTGTCTGGGAGTCAGTGTCAGGACCAGGTGGTTGTCCTTTGGGTTGGGGCCCCAAAACAGCTCAAGCTCAAGCTGTTTTTGAATAGGAAGTCCTGCTTGGAGAAGCGCATTACACAACAGGAGGTTTCGTTCTTCAGGTGGGTGGGAGATGTTCTGCCTGCCTGGAAGCAGCACATTCTGGAAATGGCAGAGCCGCGTGTGGCTGGAGCCGTCGAGTGTTGGGCAGAGTGCGGCCAGGCCGTGGATGGTCCTGGGGGCCCTCTTGAAGGAGACTGAGGGCAGCAGGGAGCTGTGCAGAGGTCTGAGCCTTCGCTCAGTGTGACCTGGTCAGTGTGTGACGTGATCTGCAGCCAGGTGTGGAGACCAGAGGCAGGAGCCAGGTCAGGCAGAGGCTGGGCAGAGGTTTGGTGGGGTGGGGAGTGGCCGTGTGGGGACGGTGACAGAGGGGGGACTTCACAGTTGTAAGGATGAGAGGGGACATAACTAGGGCAGAGGCACCTTGTGTCCTGGCTTCTCTGAAAGAAGTGCTGTTGCCCCTCCCTCACCCCCAGAAGAGCCCCTGGGCGAATGTGTGCAGGGTACAGGGAGGGGTTGAGGTTGGAACTCTGGGAGCAGACCCCTGAGGGCCAGGCAGGGTCAGAGTCAGCTCTGGGATCTGGCCCCAAGCCCAGGACTGGCCCGAGTAGGGGGTGCCTCAGGAGCAAACTCGGTGGGGGCTTTGAACAAGTCCCTTGGGTCCCTGGCCTCAGTTTCCCTGCTTTACAGCCCAGGCCTGGACCTATGAGTTTGTCCGGGGTCTGGGCAGTCCCTGGTGTGGGCAGAGGCAAGGGAGGGTCCTTGGTACAGCCTGGCCCACATGGAAGCCTCTGGGAGGGGTGTGGGACGCCCATCTCAGACGGGCCCAGTTATGGGTTTTTCTTTCAAGGGGCACACATGGGCTTGGTTCTGTCTTGCATTCCACGAGAGCAGGAAATTCAGACAACAGGTGTTTCTTCTCCCTGAAAAGGGTGGTTGGCAAGTGCCTGGAGTGTGGCCTATCTGAAATGTCCAGGGCTTCAGGCCTTCCTCATTCAGTGAACAGAATTCAGCAGGCTTCTCAACCACCTGGGACAGAGACAGAAACAGAAACAGGAGCCCTCTGCTCCATCCCTTCAGTTTCCAAAGGCCCTCCCCATCCAGGATCTCATCGTGGCTTCCCAAGGTACAGGCAGGATAGGAATGTGTTCCACACCTGCGGAAACTGAGGCCCTGAGTGGAAAAGCACCTGGACCAACATCCTACAGGTATCTCTGACAGAGATGAGACCCAACCCTAGGCTTTTTCCTGCCTCACAGGTCCTGGCTACTTCTCTGCCAGTGACCCCAGAAGTGAAATCTCTGCAGGTCTTCCACCTCAGGAACAGCAGGGAAAACTGAGTTGTCTTGGTGGGTGTGACTTCTGGTGGGGATGTGCTCACCTTGGCCCAACTCATTGTTGGGAGGCAACAGTGTTACCTTATACTCAAAGGGTTCGCTTGCCTGGACGCATCCAAGCCACAAAAGACACTAGCAGGAGTTTGCAGCAAAGAAAATCAAGGTTTCTGTAAGGAGTTGGTGCCAAACCCAGAGATGCAGGTGAGCTAGTGCTCTCAAAAATCTGTCTCCCAGATAGCCTCTAGTAACTAGGTTATTTAAGGGAAAAATCATTAATCATGGTTACTATGGGAGTTGGGCTTGTGGGCTCTTCTGATTGGTCAAGATTAAGGCAGAGAGCTATTGATCATGCATTCAGGTGCTGGTGTCAGTCATGGCATTGTTCGGTTCAGTGTCCAAGGGATGTGGTACACGAGGCTGTTCTGCTTTCATGAGTTGGGAGTGGAAACATAACTGAAGCCAAGGTTTATCTTTGTTTGACTAAAACCTTTCTGGTTTGAGGTTTGGTTATACCCTGTTTTCCCGAAAATAAGACCGAGCTGGAAAATAAGCCCTTGCATGATTTTAGGTGCAAAAATATGGCACTTAGGCATCCTGAATATTTTAAGCTGAAGGAGTTTGTGGAAAAGGCACCCTTCTCCCTGAAACAGGCTGTAAAACCCTCCTGTGAGGGGCGCGTGCCCTCCATATCCTGGAGGAATCATGCTAGGGCTTTTTCTCCTGCTAGGTCTTATTTTCAGGGAAACACAGTAATATCTTAATCATGGTTGATACGCCTGAAGCTTTATTCTTAAATAATTTAGTGTTGACCAGAACCTGATGTCCTAAGGGCTTAATGATTAAAAGGAGTGAGCATACAGGCAGGAGGTTCTGGGGAAAGATTGCAAATGAGTTATAGTTCTGTCAGGCAACAAAGCTAGGTTGGATTAAAGCAGAATGCATGCTAAAGAAATGAAGTTCATGTGCGGTTGCAACAGAACCAGTCTCAGGAGCCTTTGTTTGACAAAATTTGTTTCATGGTTTGTATTAGTTTTGGCTCTGCTCATATTTTCCAAAATGGCAACATTCCATATACACATTTCCATGGACTTCCCTCCCCTTCCCTCACCCCACCGATCCTCCTATAAGTCTAAAACAGTCTTCCGCCTCTTTTGCTGGATGGGGCTTCATACCAGCCCCATCCAGACCTCAGACTGCCTTCCTTCCCTTGGACCCTCACCCCCTGCACTCTGCCCCCCTGACTCCACCTGCTCATGCTTTGGGCAGTTTATAAACAAGGAAGAGATTAAAACCTTTCTCCTCTTGCCTCCACACCCTGGGCTTCTGTGAGAGGGACAGGCCTGCCACGGGGAAGCAAAGGGCTGGTTTTGTTACCACAGACGACTTTACCCCAGCTCCATCCTTTACAACTGTCCTGGAGAAGAGGGCATCAGCATCTCACTGCTTGCTCCTAAAGCCCTAAGAGAGTACGGGTGGGGATTCTCACCCCTGTTCACATTAATGCAGTAGGATCCTGCCAGGGGTCATCAGGTCTTCCCCAACTCCCAGCAAGCACTGCTTGGCTAATGAGCAGACAGGTCCACTGTGAGACTAGCAGCCACACCCTGACCCTTCAGGCATTTCACACCCCCACAAAACAAAACAAAAACCAAATAAGTAAACAAACAAAAATACTGTAGAGGGAAGGTTGGCTCAGTACTACAGAGTTCCTGCCCAGGGTACTTTTCTGCAAGTCACCCAGCCTGGGTGTCCGCCTCAGCAAGATGAGTGGAGTGGGAAGATCTGCTCCCAGGTCGCTCTGGCACGGCCATGTAGAATTCTGTGAAAACCGGTGTGGGGGAAGAAGCTTTCCTCTACCCTCAAGGTTCTTTCAGCTGGTCTAATAATCAGACATGAGACAAATTAGCAAGAGAAAATACATATTTAATACAAATTTAATGCACACATATGTATGGGAACCCCACATACATGAGAAAGTTAGAGATCGAAAGGGAACATGGTATATAGTATATGTATATGATATCTTGAGCTAGGGATAAGATAAGGTGCCTTGGGGGCTTCAAAGGCTCATTGCAAGATAAGAACAGTCAGTAAATAGAAGTTTGCCCTGCTCTATAGATAGGTCAAAAGAAGTTACCTCTGGGCTGGCCAAGTGGCACGCTGGTTAAGAGTTGGTTTCGGATGCCAGCTCTGAGCATCAGGGCCCTGGTTCAGATCCCACATGAGGGCCAGTGACACTGCCCTCTACAGCGAAGATGGTGAACAACAGCTCGACCTGGAGCTGGGCTGCCGTGAGTCACCGGCGCGGCGTAGGCTGCAGTGGGGCTGGTAGGCAGCTGGCGTGAGCTGCCGTGAGCGGCCGTCCTGTGGCTGGTGACTGACTGCCTCACCCGGGAAGAGCGCAATGATAATACCAATGTGGACCAGTGAAGCGACCTCTTCCACAGCTAGACTGAAGAACAAAAGGAGAGCAACTTGTCTGTTCTCCTTTCCCGATTCCCCAACGCTGTTACCCTCCCCCAATTCCCCAATAAAATCTTTAGGAAAAAAAAAAAAAAGAAGTTATCTCTGATAATCTCATTATGGGCAAGGCCCCTGATTCAAGTTCTAGGTGGCTAAAGGGAAGGGCAGAAGCTTCTCTTGATCCTGAGGGTAAAATATTCTTTAGCTCAAAGTAATGTGCTTACCAGGGGCACATTTTAGGGTGGCTTGTTCTGAACCCCTTCTGGGGCTAGGGAATGGGGGGAGGAGCTTCATGGCAGGCGAGCAGATGATGTTGGAGAGGTAAGGTGGGCCTTGAACGTGTGGATGTTCTTGAGGGTCTGGGACTTGCCACTGAAATCTGAGCAGGGGGTTAGCCAGGTAAGAACACTTCTAGCAGGCCCATTTGGTGGAAGGGAAGGGAGATTGCTGAGCCAACTCAAAGCTGAGAGGGGAGGAAGCCAGGGCTTCCTCTGGGGGTGGATGGGCACTGCTGCAGGTCTGAGAGTGACTTTGGATGTAGGAGGGCACCTCCAGTAGGTGTACTGAAAGCCAGATGGCCCTGTATTTCCTGTCAGAGCCTCAAGTGTGAGATGGGTACCATCAACAGAAACAGGGAGGGCTGGGGTTCATTTGTCTTGTGTTTATGACAGTTTGGGGTTCTGGGAGGGGAGAGTGGGGTAGCTGCAGTTTCCTTGGCCACTAGGTGAGCTGAGCTGAGGACTGTCTGGAAGGAGACTTCTCAGACCTCAGCCAGCATCAGCCCAGGGCACCTAAGTCTACAACTGCTGAGGCATAGTTTGCTTTCTTGCTAATTTTCTAACATTTTACATGAAGCACTCTTCTATATTTAGAACACAGGGTATCATGTTTGGTGTCCAATCTTCTTCATGGCGTTTTCACCTTTTATTTCTTATTGCGGGGCACATTTTCAGTACCAGTCCGGGCACCGCCAAATAAAAAAAATGTGGATAATATTGTTAGAGGCTATACATTTTAATAATAGTGACTGTAGAAAAAAAGAAAAAGATGAAAAAAGAAAAAAGGAATGAAAGGAGGGAGGAAGATGGCACTTATTTCTAACCACTTGGAGGAGGTCTGATCCATAGATCATTGGGGTTACAGCACATGCTACAGATGTTACAGCTAGGATGGTGCCACTGTGTGGCAATAACATAAACACAGTTAAAATTCACTCAGCCCACCTGCCATTAGCATTAAGAATGTTAAATTCTTAATACGTTTTTTAAAAAATTGGAATGTGTATTATTTCAAATTTTTGGCAGTAAATAAAACATCATAAATGTTTTTGAATTGCTCTATTTTAAAAAAGCATAATTCAATTTCAGATAAAATACTACTGTGTTATTCAGGAATTTACCACCAAAAGAGAGGAGATGCAGATTTTTATTTTTTACAGTTTTATTGAGGTACAATTTGCATACCATAAAATTTACCTATTATAAATGTACAGTTAGTTTAAGGGTTTTGATAAATTTCTCAAGTCATACAATCCTCATGACAGTCCAGTTTTAACACATTTCCGTCACCCCACAAATGCAACTGGTAGCGGGGCTTTTTGGCAAAATTCATGCCCAGACCAACATGCCCCACCCCATCCCAAACTAATTCCAGGCAAGGTCAACATAAAGGCCAGTTTGTCTATTCAGCCACTTGTCCACCTCACCCCGCAACTCTCAACACTCCTCCTTTTTCCCCTAATGCCTCCAGTTGGTGACAGCCTTGGTTCATCCTAGCTTTTGGGCTCACTTCCCTCCACCCCCCCCACCCCCACCTTGTGCTGTGGGTAGCCCCTGTGAGCTGGAGGCAGACATTGTTTTCTGGGGTTCCTGGCTTTGACATGCCCTACCTTCCCAGAGCCAACCCCATCCCATCCCATCTGCTTCTTCTACCTTGGAGTGCAGGCTGTTTCCTGCTGCTCCAGCTCTCTGCTCCTGTCTAACATACCAAAGCTGTGCTCCTGGAATTGCTTTTCTATGGTACTTTGGAGTTTCCTGTCTGGTACTGTTGGATATTTCCCATGGCAGTGGAGTTCAAACTCTTCCAGAACAAGTAACTCTTCCACCTTTGCCATGGGTCTACCTTTGCCTCCTTGTCCACTGTTCCCACTTGACCCGTAAAGCTGGTGAAGGGTCCTCAAGGGTACTGGTTCTGGTGGACTTGCTGTCTGTAGTCTCCCTAAATTATGAGAAGGCCATCTTCCTTTTCAACTAGGGATGGTATGGATTTTTGTCTGCTTTGTTCACTGATGTATTCCAAGACCCTAGAAAAACACCTGACCCATAGCAGGCATTAAACCTACTGAATTAAATAGAATTGGAGTGCTGTACCCCCTTGTAAGGGTGCTGTTTGGAAAGGGCAGGAGTGTCCTCAACTGCCTCCCATTTTGGTAGCTGGAAAGCCCTTTGGGGAATAGATTCAACTTGATCTATTTTAAGCTTCTTACAGATGTTTGGATCTCATTTCTTTGAGGATCCCTGGTTCACTGGGCCATCTTGGGAACTGGTCTGCCCTTCCACAGAACTCCCTACAAACCTCCATTGTTCCTCTGCTTAGGCCAATCTTTGGTGCTTTTCAGATGGGTCAGTTCCATCTGAACCCATAACCCCAACTGAGCCAGCCCATCCTGAGACATTCGGGCAGCTGCTTCAATTGCTAGGCTGCGTTTTGGGGTTGGAAATCTCCCAACTTCTCTTTCCGGCCTTGCCTTCCACCAAACAGAGCTCCCTAATTCTCCTATCCCCAGAGTCCAGAGAGGTCATCTTGAGCCACAGCTTTCAGGTCTCTCTCCACAGTTAATCTGGCCTCCTCTCCAGTTTTGTAGCCAGCTTAATTTCTGGCCACACTGAAGATTTCTTCTTTCCTCCTTGTAGTGTGCCACCAGAGCTTTCTCTTCCTCAGTGTGGCAAAATGCTACCACTTATCCATCCTCTGTTAGATAAATTCTGCATTGTCGTCCCTTTAGTGTGAGCACTAGGGTGACACTGCCATGGTAGTCCCCTTCCCCATTGATTCACTCTAGAGGCGGCATTCTGGGTCCAAGTGCTGGGTTAACAGGCCCCCAAGCCTGCAGGCCCCAATACCCCACCATTACCTAGAGCTTGCTTCTGACTGTGGATTTGGGAGAGCAACAGGTGGGTGAGCCCAGGCAGGCTGGCCAGGCCTGGGGAAGGGGGAGGTGGGGCAGGCGGTGCCAGGGCAGGACCTAGGGTCCCAGCTGGAGAGTAGCCGAGCTGACGGAGTCTGAGGTAGGCAATGGTTTGGGGGCGGTGAGGAGGGAGGGATAAATAGGCGGAGGGAGCCTGGGGAGTGCTGGGGGAGGTACTGCGGGCGGAGTCGGACTGGGGCGGTGCCGGACTGGGGCGGTGCCGAGGGCGGTGCTGTAGGCGGTGCCGGGCTGTGGGCGGTTCTGAGGGCGGAGTCGGGCTGGGAAGGAGCTGTGGGCGGTGCTTAAGGCGGACCTCAGGGCGGGACTGACAAGCAGAACTGAGGGCCGGCCGCGAGCTTCACGAAGGGCTGGAGTAGGGGAGTCCGGGGAGGAGTCGAGGCCCGGGGGCTCCGCGCTGGCCGGG